GAGCTCCACCGTGTACTCAGGCATGCCGTTTATGCACTTCTCATCTTTCACATAGGGGCCAGTGTCTCTCTCCACTGTACGTGCCTCCAGGATCACCTCATTTATCTGGCCTATGCAGTAGCAGTGTGTGCAGCAAGTCATCCATTACGATTTATCATAAATATAAATATTCATTCAAAATTCCATAACTCAAACATGTCAGATTGATGGTATGCAGACCTGGTATGAACATGGGAGACGGTCTTTCCGTGTACTGGTGTATTTTGGGGTTTTTGAAAGCTGTTCGAGATACAGTCACAACAGACTGGTGTGTGATTGGACAATGCCTGGTTACAGCCACAATGTCTTCATCCAGCTGGTCTACATAGACCTAAAAAAGACACACACGCCCAAAACAAAGTCTTTATCTAAGAATTCTCTCATTTCAAGATACCAAAATATCAAAGTCCAGCTTGTTTAGGCCTTAAGTGTCATGCAGACCTGTGTGAAACCCTTCTCAGCCAGCTCATGGTGAAGCCTGTTGAGTGCCAGCTTCCCTGCCAGGATGCCTGACTGGAGGTTCACCTCCCCAGGAGATGAAGGCAGGGCATCCGGTTTCCATCTGGGGTACAGACGCTCCTCTGTGATCACTGATATCTGATGCAAAAAATAACAAATTGCGTAAAAAGGTTAACCAAAGAGTTGACCATCTACTAAATACTGATCTAGCTTTAAATTAGAGGATTTATTTCGAGATCGAAATAACACTCCATTCACAAGTCAAGACTAGCTTGGGTAACTGTTAGCAAGTAGAGTCTGCTATATTCATTACCTGATGAGGAACCAGCTCGTCATATCCTCTAGTACTGCCTGTGGCGCAACACGCCATAGACACAATTGCCGAGCTGGGGAGGCAGTCGTACACGGACCTGACCTTTAACAAATGAAAAATAAAGTGCAACAAGAATGCGACAGCTGTTATCTACAAAAAGCACAATCAGATCTGTATTTTGCTAGCCAACCCAACTTTTGTTCTAGCACTACTCCATTGCTTAGATAACTCATGTACTCAGTACAGGCTTCATGCAACCTCCTTCTTTACTAACCTGGACAGGACACTCATTGTCATGGCTAACGTCAAGGAACATAGCATGTGCTATGCCTGGAACCAAAGGCCTTAGGTTGGGCTGGATGAAGGAACCAACAGGTTCTCCGCCAAAGCGATACACCAGTCTGCCTTCCTCGTGACTGTCCCCAGCGCTCATTGCCTCTGAAGCAAAAAACAGTCAAAGTCAGGGGACAGGTTCACTTCAATGGATGCCATGATGGCCAAGGATGGCTTGTCTATATTTCATGACTACAACAATCAACTCTAAACCTGTTTCTGCAGAGCAGGGTTACATTTCAACAGAGTTTAGTTCAAGCCATCTTCTTACCCAGTTAATCCTGCTAAATCAATGCCTTGTCAGCATCCTGCTTGGCTTGATTAGGTGTCAGATACAGGTGGGAACTGAACTCTGATGGAACATACTGTAGATATATATCGATGTTGGTGACCACTGGTCGAGGCCATAAGTTGTTAACATGGGGGTTTTCAACCCAGCACTTCAATCTAAGGGTATAACTTGTGTTCCAGTTTCTAACATATCTGCGCCAGGTAACTGCATTTTACAGTATTTATCTTCAGACATTTGAAAGCTGAAAGATAATAAAAACAGTAACTAGACCCTGCCCCCTGCTGGCCAGTAGACCAAACACTTTTTGCAGGCACGAACTAGTTCTTTCATTGTAGAAAATGCCGGAAGAGTTCAAGATTAGGAATTTTGAGATCGAAGACTGGATTGAGATTGTCAAGATGATCAAAGAGATGAGAGAAAGTCAAGACAGCTTCAGAACTGTTCACAGTGTGGACTATCTGTGCATTACATGTGCATACATGCACCGACTGCAGAGATTCGGTCACTACCACGAACACCATGCAGTGTTCTCCAAGGACCAGAAATGGTTCTTTTACTGTAGTTCGATAACACTGTGCCGGACTTGGAATCCAGCAGATCAATTCACTCTTCTCCATGCAGTTTCCTCTCTTACCCCAAATGAGGGAGGTAATGCCAAGGTGAGTACTGATTCCACGTGAAGAGCTCAGCACGCTCTCACAAGTGAGCCTCGGCATTCCATAAAGCCGTAACGCCAGGCAAGGCAGCAAGTTTAAAGCAATGAAGAACAGAGGTAAGAACAGAAATGCAAAGGGCATGCAAAGAGCATAAGCATGAGATGGTGTCCAAATTGAACAAAGGGAAGCCCAGGAGCCAGGGCGTTAAACCTGGTAACACATCAGTACATTACAATTGCATTAGTACAATCAAATTGAAACCAGCACATGTATTAATAGAGAAAGATTTTACATCATGCATAGACAAAGTCCTCTTCCAGCCTTTCTCTGTACCTCTGATGAGACTCGTAATCCCCAGACGGTTAACGAAGGTATTGTCGAGCTGGTCGCTACCCGTAAAGAGCTCAGCTATCACGTACAGATTGGGCCTGATTGCCCTGGCAGCAGCTAACATTGCCTAGAACACAACATATGAAACATCATAATGGGTTCATAATGCGAGTCCCAATATTTAGGGAATCAATTACCAAAAGTCTGGTTTCAGAACCTACAACTTTTTTTGGTGAAGTACTTTTTTTTTTTTTATTAAAACACAACATAATACTTTATGGAAGTGTTACTAAATAATGTGCCAACAGTTTCAAGTTTAAAAATGCACTAGATGCCACAGCACTACTGATCACATCCCCTTTGATATAATACCTCAAATTAACATTATGCGGAATATCTCAGTATTGAGTATGCGCTACCAGGAATTTATATTAAAAAATAAAGCACACCTCAGCCACATGTAGAGGTGTGGAATGGCAGTTGTCCAACCGTACACCACAGAAGTGTTTAGCCATTATCTCTGTATACTTCCTCATGTGCTCCCACAGATAGGGACAGTCCTCAGGTTTACCACCATAGCGGAGCTTCACACTGTCACCCCAGCAGACTAGTTCTCTCCTCAAGTAGACATTAGAGCCTGGCAGAAGGAAGAATTAACAAGTTCAACTAGAATATCCCAAGCCAGACATGGAAAACAATGATCTAAACCAATTTTCCAGTTCCACTGGTGGTCTCCAAGTCTTGATTGGCAATTGGTAGAATGGCATTTGGGTGCAAAAATTTCCACTGACTAGGGGTTGCTGTGGACCAGATTTTATTATTACGGATGAAACTAGGAGTGAATCTAGACACTGCATTCTACCTGGTTCTGCAAAGTTCCTGAGAGGGTCATCCGCCATCACCCATCCGTTGTGAGCTTGGAGGTGACATGCATCATCTGCATTCTGAAGCAGCAGTTCTTCCTTCTCCATTGGCATGTCCTCAAATGGGAAGGTGAAATATCTGCATTGGGGGAGAATAAAAAAAGACTAATTTAAGATTTGTTCTACGCATGGTTCAGTGGCTCGACAAATCAAGCATCACCTCGTTAAATCCTTACCTTGGCGCCAAAGGATGTTTTTTGGTCAGCAAGCCAAGTTTGGGACCATTTGCTGCAAGACGCTCATATCTCATAGTCTCCACTATGCAGTTTACAGCCTAGGAAAAAACACCAGGACGTCTTGTTCGTAGCATGGAGGATTTTATGGCTTTCATGGAAAGAGTGAACCGGGACAGACCTTCTCATGATGGTTGTGCATGTCCTTATAGCACTCCATGTTCAACTCCTCCAAACACTTCTTGAATACATCACAGCATACTTGTATCGCTGATAGGCCATTCCTGTCAATTAGTATAAAAGAACTTATATTTAAATTAAAAGGTAATGTTTAGAAAATAAAGACAATTCATACACTTGTTTGTGTCTGTATTAACCTGCTTAACTAGCTTTCCAGACTTTAACTTAGCTAGAATTTTTTAAAACCTGGTCAATTAAGTTTCTTGGCAACCAAAACTCAAGACTGGGCAGCAAACTAGTGCTTTTATCCCTGGTTTTTTTTTCCTTTTTTTTTGTTTTGTTTTTTTTTTTTTTTTTTTTTTTTTTTTTTTTTTTTGGTCCTTTTTTTTTTGGGTTACGCATGCCAGCTATAGTATGCAGTAGTATGTTTTCCAGACACAAACGCAGTAAGTTAAAAGAATTCTGCCAAACACTTAAGACTGAGAGTATATAAATCGAATATAACATTACATCAGTTTAAGCTGGAAGGTTCAGAAAAGAAGATCTGGCAGTTGATCATGATTGAAAGAGCTGTCCAAACAAGACTAAATGCAATATTAAAAAGAAGTCCTCTCTCATCCTTCACCAGGAACTAATACTACCTACTACAACTTAGACCAGCCCAAGACATAAGGTCAACCCAGTGACATTCATCTAAGCATATTACCGCTTTTGGGAATCCAGCCAATCACATTGCTCTTTCAGTACTGACCGTGAGAAACTGGAACTCACGTGTGCCTGCCAAACATGTCCAGCGCCGCGTTCATGTCCACTGTGTTGCCAAAGCGTTTGAACTGTGGATCCTGTATGATCTTCAGCTTGCATTTGATCTCCAGTTCTGTCCTAGTCGGTTTGTCACCTACGGTGCAGGGAGACGAAACGTCAAAACGGCGCACTGAACATTTACATTGCAAGCATAACAAGATGAGGCACTCACTGGCCTGCAGAAGATTATTAAACTGCTCCACGGCGCTTTCCACGTCCACCTGGAGAAACTCCCACAGCTTCAGCTGAGGGAAAACCTCCTGCCACAGGAGTTCACGGAGTGTCTGGAGACAGAGAGTGTGGTTCAGCCGGCGTGATTTCGGATTTTTTTTTTTACTTAATTGTTCACGTGTGCTCTATATGTTTTTCTATATGTCATTTACTTTATATTTACAGTATTTGGCAGACGCCCTTATCCAGAGCGACTTATTTATCTCATTCATACATCTGAGCAATTGAGGGTTAAGGGCCTTTCTCAAGGGCCAAACAGTGGCAGCTTGGTGGTGATGGGGTTTGAACTCATGAGTTTCTGAGCAGTAGCCCAACACATTAACCACTGAGCTACCACTGCCCTATGTCCAATGTCCATGGTAAGCACAACCCAAACTCACACTGAGCTGCTTCTCATCCTCAACCAGAGCTGGTAGGCCTCGGTCACGGTATTTTCCATTGGCAATGTCACAGCTGAAGTGCCAGAGAGCCCGATCCAGTATCCAGGCTGGCTTTAAGTGTGGAGAATTCGCCAGGTTGTAGCCACACTCAGGATGCAGTCTGAGCCATTTACTGTTAACTGCTACTCAAAAGAACAAAAACAAAACAAAAAGGAGCTCATATGTGGACAGGACAATCAAATAGATCTAGTATAGATCTGTATCTGTCTATACACTCACTGGTCACTTTATTAGGAACATCTGTACTAGGTTCATTCACTCAGCCAATCAATGAGCTTGTGCCCATTGTAACATCAGCATCCTGCAACCCAGTCTTCTGCTTTCTTATGGTTCAACACATTGCTCAGTCTGAAATGCTTTTCTGTTCACCATGGTTGTAAAGAGTGGTTATTTGATTAGAAGTGTCTGAAATATTCAAACTAGCCCGCCTGGCACCAACAACCACATCATGGGTAAAGACACTGAGATCACTTAGATTTTTACCCATTGTGATGTTTGACGTGAATATTAACTGAAGCACGTGACCTACAGCTATATGATTTTATGCATTGCTCTGCTGCCACGTGATTGGTTGATTGGATAATTGCATGAATGTGCAAGTGTGCAGGTGTTAAGAATAAATGAGTCCCTTGAGTAATTGGTTTGGACAGAGTTGGGTTGATATAGACTTCAATTCATTGTTGAAAGATTGTGTAGATAAGTTTTTTTTTTCAAACTATTTCTCTAAGACCGTTATCTACACAGATTTTGCACGCTATAGAGATAAACTCTAGTTTTTGAACTAGCATTAATGATCTTTATTAACTTTTGAGATCTTTGAATTTGTCTGTTTATCAGTAATACCATGCACATAGCTAGCATAAGTTACATTCATATACCATGTGCTATTTTTTAGATCTGAACTCGGGTGGAGTTGGATTTCAGGTTGAGGGCAAGTGATCAGACTTGTGAGTGCTGGTTTTGACACTTTTGAACCAACTCACGATCTGAGATGGATGTTCCCATTGCGTTTTACTAGTCTAGGTTTGGTTCTGTTGTTCACAGTTTTGTTTTTCCTTTTCATTTGTTTCAGGTTTATGAATGTCAGTTATTTCATGAATGGTTCATTTTATGCTCACAGTTCTTGTTTTAATCTGTAGATTCATCTCCTCTGGGGTTTAGCATGGACGGTTCTTTTAAACATCCTAATTTAGCCTGACCAGCTGTGTTTAAATAAGGCTGGAATTAAACTAAACAGATGGGTTGCTCCCTAGGAGCACAAGCTGAAGATAAATGGCTTCCTTAAATTTGATATGGAAACATTTTTGTTTGCTTGTTCTTTTACTAATGACGTTCTGCTTCAAAAGCAAGACCATAATGAGTTTCTGCGTAATTCCCCCCACCACCACCACAAAGATAAGATCCAGATCCAGCCACGGGTTCACTGCGTTCACCTTAAACTGTGGGATAATATTCAGCATGGTATATAATGCGATTCATTCCTTCGAATCAAAGTCCTGTAATGATGGTCCGGGTCTTACTAGGACATGCAAACAAAGCTGTTAAAACCATGGCTGCTGTAAAATTATATTCAGACCATTTCCTCTGTTAATTACTGCAATCTGGATCAGAGGATGATGAAACATTACAATATTGCTTCATTTAACCTCATTAGTGCATTACTGCACCAAACAGTAAAAATCTATGACCGTCGTGCAAGTTCATTCTTTCGGTTTTATAGAGAACAGGTTCTGAATGATAAAAATCATGATCAGTTCCCGGGAATTAATGAACTCACACATTTGGTCTGTTTTCAAGTATTTTAAGATGTCAACTAACCGAATACTTTTACATTTCGAACTCGTTTACTCTTATAAGCATGGACTGTTTTCACCTGCCTGTGTCCAGCTCACTTTATATACCACTACAAGACAAGTCAATGGCCTGGATGCTAAAATGATTATATAAAAAAGCTCTGAGCTATGTCTACTTTTCATTTTGGACATCATAAAAGACGCTGTACCAGCGAAACCTTTATCCATTCCAATACGTACTTACTACGCTCGGACCCATTTTAAAGCAGAACCTGCTTGAGGTCCATTTGTTGTGGTTTTTGGTTTCATTTTTGCACTTCAGATAGAGGTTATGATTGTTACTTCTCACAGAGTAACGATGTAAGTGTACTGTATGCATAACAGACAACCTTGAACCCGAAACTTTTTCCTCTACGTGACCCCCCGGCAAGAACCGATGAAGTGGCAGGACATTGTAGCTGAAAATTGTACGAGTCAAAGTTTGTTATCTTGACATGTTGTGGACATGGAATGCACTGCGCTCTTCAGTCATCCCGACACGAACAGGCAAAAGAGCGTTTAATAAGGTCACGCCAGATTAAAGCGAGTGTTGGAATCCTCCCAGGAGACTTAGAGGACAGAATGAAATACAGTAATGGCACACATAATGCCGGGTTCTACTTTTAGAGCCAGGCAGTATCAGTGAAATGTCAAAAGACCACATCATTGTCAAGCACTAGCAGTTTGCTGGCCAGGTAGTCAAAGTATCATGGTATTCCTGATGCCGGATCACATCTGTCCTATTGTTTTTCAACTGCGACATCATTCCACCTCTATGAGGCAGGTTTCTAAAATTGATATCGACAAATCAACAGCAACAGAACCTCAAGAATGCTGAGAATTTCGAATGAAAGAATGATGCAACCAGGACAGCTGGCACTGCAACGCCTCTTCTGCTCTGAGGTTGGTTCTGCATTGGCAGCACATAGTTCAGCCTCTAACCAGTAGCTGAAAAGGTCAGGGGTTTTGCTATCCTAATTTTTTTTCTATCCAAAACCCTGGGTTGTAGGTCTCAGGGTTTTTTTTTGGAGGACGTGAAAGTCCGAGTCTGCTCTAGTGGTTTAAGTCTCTAGACACCACCACCACCATGAAACCCCCAACCACCACCCCACCCCCAGTTCTACCAAACATCATCCAATTATTAAGACAATAAACAGGTATTCTTGAGCCATGAGGGAGTCAGCTTTGTACCCGTATGGTTGTACACGACGTCTGTGATGCAAACCATGTTCCACTCTTTCCGGATCTTCTCTGTCAGGTTCCCCACATCCATCCATGTGTAATTCTTTCCCGGTGGTGAGAAATCTGGGTTCAGCTCCAGCTGGTCAGCAATCGAGTAGCAGGAACGTGACTCACCCAACTCCTGCAATGGCGTCAAGTGGATCATATTGTAACCTATAACAAGAAGAGCACATTCATAATGCTCTGCAATGATATTCCGTGTCAGTCTTGACCTGTATTTTAGTTAGACGCCTACCCAGTTACACGTTTCATACCACACCTTTGGTGCTTTTGCGTGTTTCAATGCTAAATCTCACCACGGCAGTCATTCATATCAACATGTCAATAATTTTACCAATAGGTCTGCTACTAGCAGAACTTCAGTATCAGTATCATTTCATCAGTATAATCTTCGTGCTAGATCTTTATGCTGTTAAGATCCTCACCTGTTTCCCTGGCCACTCTGAGCCGGTCTAGCCATTCGTCCAGTGGCCCGAGGCACTTAGCCAGGTAAGTCTGCGAGGTGATGCTGTCCAAAGGGAGAACCTTCCTTTCAAGGCCTACTCGTAGCACGGGGTCCACCACAAAATAGCCACCACCAGTTTTCTCCTCATTCCTGACAGCAAAACCATAGATGTTGGTAAAATACAACACAGCTATGCTTGGATTGATTTCATTTCATGAACTAGATAAACATTTCAAGGAATGGATTCAAAACAGTCCAACACCCACCCACAGCCAAAGTAATACTGGTAGGAGCCAGCGATCTCAAGGTCCAGTTTGCAGTACTTGTCAGAGTCATCGTCCTTCCCACTGGGGTTGATCCACTCGAGGACATGAAACTCACACCTGTTGAATTTTTGCCCCGTTGCAGGGTAATTGGTGTGGACGTGCACATTCTTCCCCTGCAAAGTTGGACCTAGTCGGAACTGGAGCTCGAAGCCTTAACGAAGCAAAAATTACAAATAAAATCAAGAACACAAGCTTTTCAGGTTTAGTACTTGGTTTTGGACCAAATCCTTAACCTAAAGAGCTTGTGTTTATCTTTTTTTTTTTACATTATTTTCTGTCCTTAACTCCTAAAGCCCCATATTTTATAACTGGACAACTTGTAAACTCTGGAATGGAACAGAGGAAAGATCAACAAAAACCAAAGCCTGCTGCTAAATCTGTAACTACGTGATATTCTGGTCCTACCGAGATATGCTTAGGTAGTGCGAAATACAAGACACACAAATTCAGAGGCTTACACTGCACGACCTGGACAGTCCCAACTACTCAAGAGTAAGGAACAAACCTCAGGTTAGTGACTATATCTGTTGCCAAGAAGAGTAAAACGCTACAACTTTTTCTTAATCATACCTTGCTCCAGGCGAAACAGAGTCTTCTCCAGTCTCTCCATGTCGTTCAGCAGAAGCGCTCTGGTCTGTCCACGGCGGAGCCTATCGTTCTTTTTTTAGGATGCCCTTTACATGGGTCTGCAACAGCATGATAAAGAGGGACACAAGGGAACAATGTTCTGTGTGTTGATACCGGGAGACACGTACAGGTTTACGGTGCATTCGCACACGGCCACATTGGAAGGCCACTTCCAATGTTTACCTCCTCAAAGACAGGAACAGGAGAACGCTAAAAGCACACCCGAGTCTACTGAAATTTCAGACTCGGTTAAGAGGAAGGAGCTTGCTCAGGAAGAGCCAGGAACAGTAATGAAAAGTCTCCATGAGAGATGAATGAATGAGATGAAAAAAATTTCAGACCATTCCGATTCAGATGAAGGTTTATTGCATGCATCAGTAATGGGGGGAAAAATGGTTTTAAAACTCTACAACATTCGTCATTATATCG